GGTTGCCTATTGGACATCTCTACAGGCCCAGTTGATGAGTTGGTCTCAACTGGCCTGAAGTGGACAAAGGGGTTCTAATGCCTGAAAAACGGCTCACACACCTATTACCATAGTGTCCCAGGCCCCAGGGAGATGTTCTCTATAGGAACCTAGTGGGAGTCAGATAGCATACTGCCTAAAGAGCACAGTTAACAATGGGTGGGTTAAACAGATAAAAGCTATAATCAGTAGTTGCAAAAAGGAAAAAAACCTTTAGTTCCTAGCTACTTAATCTTCAATGGCTAACTCTTTGCCAGTTTCACTAGTCTTGATAATTTTCCAATTTTCCACTTCTCATTTTAAAATGTTATTTTAAATCTTTAATTCTTTCCTCTCTTTAAATTTTTCATATAATCTAAAATCTTTTTGTACTTCCAACTTTCTTTTGGTTAATAATATCATACATATCACTGTTCCCTGATGGTAAGACATCACTTTTCCAGAGAAGAAAAGCAGCTCCTGTTACTGGGTTTATGGCATACATGCTTTCATCCAGCAGACATGAGAGCCTTGTATATGGCAGGCACTATACCTAGAGCTGTGATACAGAAACACTACAGCTAGCTCCAGAGAGAAAATGAATCGCTTAAAGCCTAGTCTAAACCTGATATGGAATTTCATTTGTCTGAAATTGAAATAATTACAGCTATTGTCCTTATTTTCTTCATTGATTCACTTACTATTCACTCATTCAACAAATATGTCGGAGTTTTCATTTTGGGCCAGGTACTGTTCTGGTTCTGGTTTTACAGAGTTGAACAAGGTCCCTGTGTTCTAGTGAGAGAAGACAGAAACAAAGCAAGTTAACAATTAACTAATCATTTCAAACAATATCAGACAGAGATAATGGCTGTGACTAAAAGAAGCACAATAAAATATTAAGCATACTGGGTTGTAGGTAGGCTATTATACATGAGATAATAAAGGGGATCTTCTGTGAGGAAGGGGCACTTAAACAGAGACCTGAATTATGCAAAAGGTGGAGCCATACAAAGATCTGATATGATAGCAGCCCTGCCAGATGGCCTCAGGAATTGGCCTAGATGGTCTCTGGGGTTCCTTCCAGTAGAAAAACCTAGAGTTTTCCCTTTTCACCTAGTTCCTGTTTCACAATAGCTTTCATGGTTCCTCTCAAAACTTTTGCCAGCATCTGTAACTTCCAGCTGTGGAGCCCAGAATTAGTCTCTAGGCAAGTTCTGTCAATAATCAGGACACATGGCTCCAGCAGCGTATACTCATATTGGTAGATGTCAGCATGATACTTCATAAAAGCTACCATCTAGCCCTCCCTCATTTCAGGAAAAGCCGAAGATGCCAGACACAGAAAAGTTCTGATCTTTCAGGGAAAAAGAAACAGTTCTGGGGAGCACTAAATGAGCATCTCAGTGCCATAGTCAATGTGCTAAAGAAACCTTAATTTCCCTATCTGCAATTTCAGAGTGGTTACAGTAGAAAAAATATTGTCTTCATAATATAAACTCAGAAAAGAGACTATATTCCAAACCCCTACACAATGAAGTCTACCAGATGCCCGGTGTCCTTTGGTTGCATTAGAAAGATACTGATTTTGACTATTGCTGGAGCAGGTGAGCCATCAGATGGGCATTGTGAACCTTCGTTCTGAGGATCTACATTTGCTTCTGCCAGTCACCGCTTCAAATTACATTCTCAGATTGAGAATATTTGGGCCACACTAGAAGCGTGGACTTAAACTACTTGTGTGAGTGCCAGGGTGTAGTTTAATTTCTCAGATGAGATGTTTTTCACCCTCTATCCACTGTGCCAAGATTGAGACATGCAGGATCTTTTGCTGTCTCTCTCTGTGTGGTGAGTTTGTTTCTTGTTTACCTCTGTATTGAAGGTGTAGTCCTTTGGTGTCTTAGCTTTATATAGGGGTCTCCCATTCAATTCTTCATCTTGGACATTTTTCCTTTATTAGTATATAAAATAATGGTACATCTTTTCATTGATGGAATCTTAGATTGGGTAACATTAATTAGAAAGTCTAGCACTTTGGGAATGGAATGTAAGATGGGTATACAGAATGAGGGTGACACAGCAGGGGAGACAGCCACTGAAAAGGGATATGGCAACAAATGAAAAGACTAGTTCATAATCTACAGTCAGTCAGAAAAAAATCTTTATTGCCTGCAGGGGCATTTGGCATCTGAATGCCTGGGGATGAGATGTGACAGTTCTGAGAACTTGTACCTTAGGGTAGCACATCAAAACCCTAGGCACAGCTAGGAGAGTGGCTCCAAGAGTTTACAAAGCATAAACACAGTTCAGTGTGTGTAGGGCCAAGTTCTTTTCCTGGAAGGGAGGGTGCCTGGGGGCCCTCATGGTCCATGTCTATCGTTTATTTATTTTTTATCTCCTCTACTAAAGGTAAATTCCACTAAGAGCAGGATCTTTGGCTTTCTTCTTCATCAATGTCTTCCAGTGCCTAAAATAGTACCTGACTCATACTAGGGACTTAAAAAATATATGTGTGATGAATGAATAGGTGATGGGTCATTGTTGGCCCTGAAATGGTGTTCTAGGGGCTCAGCCCTGAGTTTTGCAATACTGAGGAGGTCCAGTTACCAGGCCCAAAGCAAATAGTCTGAGGTTCGGAGATAGTAGAAGTGGGAGCCAAGTCGTAAAGCCAAGTAGGTCAGGAAGGAGGAGAGCTGCTGCCTGAAGAAGACTGGAGCAGGCAGAGGGAAGGATCCTGGAAGAGTGCCCTGAGCTGGAGAGTAGGCTTCTCTCCAGCCCTCCTTGCAGTCCCTAAGCTTCTGCTGGGGTATGCCGAGGGCAGGGAAAAGAGCCCGGATGGAGTGAGCTGAGAGATTTTAGGTAACACTAAGATGAATTTAAAAAACGCTGTCAATGAGATTCCTAAACCATGAAAAATACCTTAAAAAATTTCTTATCTTAAAAGCAACTCATAGACAGACACAAAGTAGTAGAGTGTCTAGGTACCCACAGGCTTGGCTCCAAATACACTCCCGTCTCCCCCACAACAAAGACATCTTTTCTTCATCTTTGCATCTCCTCCTCATCACCAAACTTCCTTCCTTCTTCAGCTCACTGCAATCCAGTTTGAATCCCCAAAACTTTGACCAAGGTTATCCCTAACATCTTAAATATGGAATCTGGTGACATCTTTTCACTTCTTTCCTGTTTGACTTCCCTGTGGCATTTGGCACCACTGATAACTTTCTACTTCCTAAAACTCTTTCTGCCCTTGGTTCCTAGGACACCTTCTCCTGGCTTCTTCTCAGTTTAATTTGTTGCCTTCTCTCTCTTGTCCTCTACTCGTTGGTATCCTCCAGGCCTCCCATGTAGATCCCTCTCTTCTCACACTATACCACACCACCACCTCCCTGAATTATCTCATTGATATCCATAGCTTTGAATACCATCTTTAGACTGATGACTCCTAGAAATGAACCTCTACTCCAGATGTCTCTTGATATGGCCAGACCATATATTCAGCTAGAAATTATCAAGGTTTACCAACCTTGTCTGGATTATTGCAAAAGACTCTGTCTGGCCTCTTTCCAACTGATCTTTTCTCATTCTACTCAGCTGCCACTGTTGGTTCCCCCTCAGACCCAGTTCTGATCATGCTTTTCTCCAGCCTACTAGGTATTGCACAGCCAAATAATGTCATGATTTGTATTTTGCACATGCCTGTATGATCACACTTATCATATTGTGGCATAATGTTTTATTTCCATGGCTGTATTTCTCATTAGATTGTGAGTTTCTACAGAAAAGCGTTTTGTACAAATCATCTTTACAAGGCTTCCATAAAGCATAGTGTCTGGTGCACACATAAGAACTCAAAAATTGAATGAATGACAGCAATTGTTGGCCTGGACCTTGTTTTTAAGCATTAACTCTTTTTAAAACCAAGACTGCCACATTTCTAACTTATTTGTCAACTCCTTAATAAATCACCCTTCTTGACCCTTGTGTAATATTCTATAAGTGAAGAAAGCAAAAACCTTAGACCAGCATGGGAAGGGACTTTCTAAGCACAGAAACAACTCTAAATAAGAGCCCTCCAAACACAAATTCAGATCCATCAGGTCATATTGCATTTAAAATTAGTTAAAAATCTATATTTATAGAGAGCTATGTGCTAAGGTGCTATATGTAATTACTGCATTTATTCCTCACAGAAACCCTCTGAGGTAGGTACTCTATTATCATCTTGATGCTATAGATGAGGAAACGCAACCAGTGTGAGTGCAGAGCCCAAGCTTGTAACCACAGTGGTGCATCACCTCCTTAGGGGCTGCCCTTCTGCACTAGATCCAGGGCAAATGCTCTTTAAAATTAGCTTGTGGACAATTCTTCTAGGAAACCCTCTCTGCCCTCCCCCACCCCAGCCCAGGTAGAGACCCCTCCTGTTGCTGTGCTCACCTCTATCCCAGCACTTCTCACATTTTACTGTGATTCCCTGTCAGCCTACATCCACTGCCCAGTGAGATTACAATCTTCTCAAGGGCAGAAAATGGTTATATTCACTCTCATATCCACAGCACCCAATGCCCTACTGCTTAGTAGGTTTTCAGCGAATGTTTAATGAATTAAAGTAAAGCAGATGGAGAGAAGCCCTGGGTAACTCATCACCGTTGTCGGCAATGAGGCCTGTCTCAGAACTAGACTCCTGATTTCTCTTCTGCTTTCCAAGGGTTTCTCAATATTGAAACGGATGCTCTCTTTGGTTTAACATAAAAATGTCACAACCTACTTGAAAATAACTAATATGGAAGAAATAAATAATTGTTTTTAGCTAGATTTGTTTCTGTACATACTCACCAACTAAGAAGACCTTGTTCAGATGTACTTTCATTATTTTCTATTATTAACACAATAAGAATATTTTAAATATGTATTGATGTATGTATGCAGAATATTTCAGTATTGAATGCAATTTTTAACTGTACTCTCTCCCATCCCCATAGGTCATGATATGGTCCTGCTGAGAATCCCTGGGCTTCCCGGTTTGCTCCGAGCAGACTCCCTTGGCAGGTGGCCTCTTGACCCTTGTTCAGTGACTAGGCTTTACCACAGATAACCAGGTTTCCAGGATGATGAACTCCTGCCCTTACATTTCCAAGTATGTCCTTCCCCCTCTACACATACACCCCTCCACCTCTGTCCCCACTGCTGCGCTCCTCCACTTTGTTAGGGTTCCGGTTGCTGACCAGAACACCAGGGCTCACTGGTGTAAGACTGTTTACTGACTTTGCCACACTCTTGGGTGTAGTCAGCCTTCCTACCCTCTACTGCCCACATCCAGAGCCTTGTCTGTCCTGGTGGGCAAGTTTCATGCCAGGACCTGGCTCCCTCTAGCCCCTCCCTGCCTTCCCATTCCAAAAATATGACACATTGCAATGACCCTGAATGCGTAACAGGCTGAGAGAACAGACGCCTCTGCCTGGAGCAAGAATGTGGCATTCTCATCCCCCTCACAACCCCCATCCCTGGGAAAACCCAACAAGATGAGGCTTGGCCTTGTTTGGGTTGCAGCCAGTTTTACCTATTCCACAGAGGAAATTGCTATTTTGGACCTAACTCCAACAAGGTTGAGGCGATTGGTTGATAGGAAGTCTCAGATATTGTGTTGACTGAAAAATGGGCACCGTTCAGTCAAGAGAGGCTGATAGGGGAGTGAAAGGAGCTTCAGCTTTGTGCTCAGAATGACCTTAAGTTCAGTTCCCACCTTGGTGTGAACTTGGGCAAGTCACTTAACCTTTGTGAGATCCAATCTCCCCTTTCATGTTACGGGGCTAATAATCCTCCCTATTTTGTAGGGTTATTATAGGATGAAATGTGGACTCACCGACAGCGTTAAGCATGTACTGGGAACACAACCAATGCTCAGCTGAATACCCTCTTGACCAGCCTACAGTATGGGTTTAATAAATGTTAGTTTAAAGAGTCAGATTTCCAAATGTTAAATGAAAACATGTATTTTCTCCTCTGGTTAGAGATGTTAGATGGAAATCTTGAGTACTATTGTATCAATCCTTATAAGATTGATACAATTTAATATATACAATACAATACAATATTGTACCAATCCTTATAAGAATTTTTTCTTTTTTTTTGCCATTTGGATAATTATTTTATTCTTTAAAAATTAATGGGTCATGATAGCAAAATAGGTTTCAAAAATGAACAATTTGCAAAAGATATATAAAAATGGCCTTTAAACATATGAAAACATGTTCAATCTCCTAATTAGGAAAATACAAATTTCAATCATGCAGACATATAATTTTTCATTCCTAATTTTAGTTAAAAAATAAAAATTATTACAATTATTTTTGAGGCTGAGGGAAACAGGCACTTGCATACATTTCTCATGGTAATATAAATTAGAAAACTCTTATGAAGGGACATTTTGCAATATCTAATAAATAGACATATGAGCTTAGCTTAAAAATATGGAACACTTCACAAATCTGCATGTCATTCATGCAGGGGTCATGGTACTCTTCCCTGTGATCTTCCAATTTTAGTGTACGTGCTCCTCTTATTATTGAGACCAACACTTTTATCCTGGTTACAGAGCACAGGAAACCAAGACTCCAAGAGGTGAAGTAACTCGGCCAAAGTCACACAATCATAAAGTATCACAGTTCTGGGTTTATGCCTGTGATGGTATCAATCCAACATGGGAAGAGTGTTATCTCATGCTTATCAGAAGCTCTAATTGTTAGTTACATGTCAATTTGATTAATAAAAAAGAATTAATAATTACTCAATGAATGCCCCTTACTTAATAGCAGCATTTGAAATTTACAGCAAGAAGAGGGGTAGTATTTAAAGAGGTCTGTGGCATTCTACCAAGCAATTATCTTGGTCTCTTTGATAGGCAACGTCACGAAAAAGGAAGTTGAGGTAAGGTTTTTTAGATTAAAAGAGGCAAAAACGCAATGTGTCGTTTTTTGTTTGATTTGAACAAACCAGCCATAATAGACATATTGGGGACAAATTGGAGAATTTGAATATGGACAGAGTGGAGAAAATAATAAGGAACTGTTATTCATTTTTCATTGATAATGGTGTTATCCTTTGAAGGATAATTTTTTTTTCGGAGCTGCAAGTGGTACAACGAACTAGTAGTAGTAAAATGCCATGATGTCTTTGTTCTAAAATGGTTCAGCAAAACGATATGGGGATAGAGGAAACGCGGCAAAATATTGACAATCGTAGACTCTAGGTGGAAGATAGATAGGTATTCTTTATGCTATTATTTCAGCTTCTCTGTCCATTTGAATGTTTTCTTAATAAAATACAGGAAAACAAAGACCCTTAAAATTCCCTGACCTAAAGAGCGGGCTCGAGAGCTGTGCTGTGAGTTTTGGCTCTGGTCTCTGTTTCTTACAACACTTGCATCAAAGACTGAGAGGAAGACAGAAGAGCACAATCAAACTTGGAAGAACTAGTGATTGATGGAATCTAGATTAAGAAAGATGGTCATCGGCTGGAATCCAGCTAGAGGCAACTTAATAAACAAGAATATAGTCATGCATATAGGTTTTAAAAAATTGGCAGCCTGAGGAACGTTGTCAGAATAGCACTTCTCACTGAAAGGACAAAAAGGGGTTAGTTGGTGGCAAGTCAATGTGAGAGACTGAAGTGACACAGCTGCTAGGAAAACAAATGCCGTTTTAGTGTGCATTTCTGGAAGCAGTTGAGCCAGAAGGAGGGAGGTTGAAAGTCCCACAGCCACATCTGGCCAGGTCACATCTGGAGTTTTAGATTCCACTCTAAGTGTCTGGTTTTGAGTGGCACTGGGGTGGGTCCAGAGAGGATGACTGGGCCATGTTCTACTGGCTGAAGAATCTGGGGATTGTAAGTTTAAAAAGACTAAGGTGGACATGGGCTGTGCTATCAAACATTTAAAGGGTTTTGTGCAAGAGAGTAGTCCCATGTAGGCAACGCCATAAATAAGAACCAGGTGCACTTGTTAGAATAAAATGAAGAATCTTTGTACAAGTGCCCAGGGAAGGACTGCTTCTGTAAAATAGGCAGCATTGTGTGCACGTTATTGCCCGTTTCATGGCAGGAAAACAATGGTAAACGTGAGGCAGAGAGAGAGGAAGAACAAGTGAAAGAATCTGAGAAGTTGAAAATACTACATAAGCAGAAGGCCTCTGATACTATTTGCCAGTACTAGCATTTCAGTAGCAAAACTTCCCAGGGCCAGAGATAAAATTTATCTTCCCACTGGGCACTTGCCTGTGCTTTGTAGTCTTCAAGGATTTTGTTGTCTCTGTATCAGGAAGACAAATAATTATGCTGGTAGTTTATCAGTTTTCCAATTCCAAAGCTAGATAGGCCCCTGGTAACTTTTAACAGGTTTTGTTGTTGTTCATTTCATCTTGTTTTTGAGTAAGTGAAACATTCATGTGGTTTAAAATTCAAAGAGTAAATAAGGGTATACTATGAAAAATCTCCTCCTTCTGCCAATTTCTGTCCTCCAACCACTCAGTCCCACTCCTCCGAGGTAATGAGTGTTAACCAGTATCTTTCTTGTTGTTTTATGTACATTTTACTCTTCAGGCAGTTTTCTCAATGTAAGAGTCCAGAAAGTAAGGGTTTCCTGAATTTCTGGCTATGTGACATCCCATAGGATGATCTTTGCTACACAGGACAGAGTGGAGGCCAATGCCAGGAGGCTTGCGAAGAAGCTTTCCTTGAAAGAGCAAACATCTGCCAATGCTTAACTTCACTATTCCGCATTTCACTGGCCAGACAGTTAAACATCTTGCCAAAGGCTCTGCAAAGAACAAGAGATAACATCCTGTGTGGGTGAAAATGGCTATTTCTCTTCTAACCAACTTTCCTGACAAGCTCACACAATTGCATCTTTGCTCCTGTCTAGAGAGTTGAACAGTTGGTGCTCGTGGTTTTTGCTGTAATCATTGGGTGTTCGGTTTACAGTGGAGAGTAACTCATACTTTTTCACACACTGGCCTGTCCACATGCTTTTCATTTGTGTGCGTGCATGTTATTTCCTCCATTGAAGTGAGAAGTTCCTCAGAGGCGAGGTCCTAATACCTAAACCCTTTGTGTCCTCATAGCCCCAAATTTAGGGATCTCAGCTCATATTTTCTTTGGCATTTTGTTTCGCAAGTGTAGGAATGGATTTTCTTCTGAGTATGTCTTGAGTATGTGTCTGGGTAGTTCCTGTGGGGATATACTGTTAGCATGAGATATTGTTTTCATCCTCAATAAGTTATAGATTTTTCTAGAGAGACAAGAATTACAGGTATGAAACAGGGACAGCACTTAATAAAGTGCTAAATTACGATTCAGGCAGCATCCATGCAGATCTCTTTGCAAGTTTAAATTGAAATGGTGGTATTGGGTTGGTCACATGGAGAAATTGGTCAAGAGCTAGACTGTCCAATTTAAGACATTCTGCCCTCGGTGCCATTAGTCTCCAGGACACGGTTGCAAGAGTAAAGTGAAGAGGAAAAGCTTTGTTTAACAAAGCTGCTAATGGGACATCACTAGTGAGCTAAGGCCATATTGGGTCCAGGTTTGGACCTCAGATTCTGGGAAATGAGTTCATACTAACCAAAAGCAAACAAACTTACAAGCGTTCATATAGACAAATGAGAGTTCAAAGGGAACTAGAATGCTTGTGCCAACTGGTCAACCTACTCTATTCTCACCAGGACACTATTAGAGAAACCAAATTAAGGTTTTTAAGTAGACGATGTGAGCAAAGAGAGGTAAATGATCCTAAAGATTAATATCATCAAACTCTGAAAACCTGCTACTGCCTTCTTTCTAACACCCCTGTCAAGGGAGCAGATTACTCAGGCGGGAGAGCTAAAGCTTCTGGCCTCCCTTTCCCTGGAAGGCTGGAGATGCACGGGTATCCTACGTATACCAGAAGTTCTCAAAGTGTGGTCTGCGGACCCCTGGAGCCTCTGAAATCCTTTTTGGGATGTCTGTGAGGTCAAAATTATTTTCATAATAATACTAAGATGTTATTTGCCTTTCTTACTTTTCTTCTCTCCAGAGGGTACAACGGAGTTTTCCAGAGGCTATGTGATATGTGATAGTCATCACTCTGACAGCTATTGGAAGGTATGCTTGTGTGTTGCTGTATTTTAAAAATTTCTCCATTTTTGATTTACAATATAAATGTCAGTTGATATAACCCACATTTTAAAAAGTTCTTTAGGGCACTCAATATTTAAGAGTGTAGAAGTTTCCTAAGACCAAAAAGTTGAAGAACCATTGATACAGACCATCATTCTCAGTCACCATACTAGGAGACTTGCGATCACCAGAATGTTATTTTTTTAACGAAATTTTGGAAACACCCTAATAGTCTAGACGAAGACTCCTTAATGAGATTTAGGGAACATTCTGCCTGACTAGGCGCATAGTATTCAGATTACCTCAAAAGCTCCACATATCCTCCTCTAAGGCATGACTATAGGTGCCCCAAACTCTTTTCCTGAATATGTTGATTTGCAAAAAAAAAAAGACGAAAAGGAGACACTGTTGTGTGTCCTTTGACAATTATCTGAAATAAGATCATAATTCACGCATACAGCTTTCACTGTGAGATGAAGTGCAGGCTATTTTTGGAGTTCTTGAACGCTAACTGAACTGAAACCAAGAATCACAGCCTACCAGGAATATAGGGCAATCAAGCAAGTTTTTCTGGTTTTAGGGGTTTGTTTTTGTGTGCACGTATGTGTCCGCGCAAGAAATGAGGCCATTTGTTAGGTATTTCTGAAGCCCATTCTTTGAATACAATCAGCACAGAGGTTGGTTCTCACACATTGGTCCAGTGTCCATTTACTCCAGACCTCGGGGTCCCACAAGGCCATTGCCTCCTATGGAATGAAAGGCAGTGGAAACCCTTTTTAATATGAGCTTTCCTGAAGCTAGACATGGAGCATAGTTGCCCTTAAATATCATATTTGCAAGCCTAGAGTTTTCCTTTGTCTCCCTCACACTGCTGACACATGGACGAGGACAGAACTGGAGACATACATCCTCAAACCAAAGTAACCAAACTGGGAAATATAAGAATTTGGTTTGGATTTGACTGAACAAAGATTAGATGAACCTCTGATATACACAAGGCACTAAAGAGGGTGGCATGAGGAGGGCAAGAGAGACGGTTCCTGTCCTCAAGTGTTGCAACAACTAGTCACTTGCCATTTTCCAGTTATTGCATCACAATACCCTCTGTATCTACTAGAGTTAACTGACAGAGATAAAGAGAGAGGTTGACCTCCATTTCTCTCTTTTATTCTTAATAGGCTGAATTCATGAGGGACCTCCTGAAGTCATCTCTGGCCCCTGCCCTGAGGGAAGAGCTGAAATAATCTTCACAGAAAATTCATGTCTTAGAAACAGCAGGATGTTATCTATTATAACATAATTAAGAATCTTTAACAAAACAAAATGACTGACACTCAAAATGCTCCATTTTAATCAATGTCTTTATAATGATGTAAATTAAACCATTTTGTCTTTACGAGAAGCGAAGTGAGAAGTGAGAAGATAGAGGCAAGGGCTAGCAACTCTTATGAAGGCAAAATGGAGTCATCTTTTTGATGATAGGAGGAAATAATGAGAAGGCACTAGTGTCAGAAACTGGCCTGGGGAGGTTGTTTTCTCTCTGAGTCTGCAAGGTTATGAGTTCTGATCACTCTCTGCCTCATTGTCTTGCCCATTGGTTCCTTTCCGGATAAGGAAGAGAGATGTGTCTCCTGCAGAGTTTTGTAGGCATCTGACAGCATTCCGTGAAAGACAGCTGTTCTGGGGCCCAGAATGGGCAGTCTGTAGTGAATGCTCTCTGCAAGAAGGAAGGACAAGGGCTGCTTAGATTCTATTTTTAAAGAAACTCAAAATAACCAAAAGTCACCCAAGACTTCTTCAACCTTAAAAACAGATTCAAAATTCACATAAGAATTCCTTTGAATAGAACCATCTTATACCTCACAACATTTAAGCTTTTACAAATCTTGTCATAGAGGCCAGAAAGGAGTGCCTAGAAACAAAACTCATGTGTTAGGAGACATTGCCAGTTAAATTAAAAATAAAGATAAAGTGTGTCTGGAGTTGTAATGTGAGTGGAAGGGAAAAGAGGATTCAGTCCTCAGAAGACTTTTCAGGGACACGTATGTGGTTCTGCTCATCAAACAAACAAACACAGTCTGAGCAAAAGGCTACAGAAGTAAAAAAGTATTTGCATTTCAAAGGAACCTTCATCTTATGAAATAATTTATTTTAGGGCTCCTTAAAATCCTCACCATCCTGACCTCTTATTCAAATCTGATTTTATTTACAAAAAGCTGGTTAATATTCAACTTTTCCAGAAGACGCATTGTGAAGGAGAATAATTCAGTGCATGAAATAACATTTTCCCACCGGAAGTCACTGAATGACTAAGGGAATTGGAGTCCTGAACGCTCTGGAACGAGCTCATTAGTCTAGCTGAATGAGAGCTAAAAGATGTCACAAAATCACAAACCTAGGATCCAGTTCAGTCTCATCACTGTAATGAAGAGAAAACAAGGGTACAGGGTCATAGGCACTAAGGACCAAGGACCAGAACCCACATCTCCTTAATGCTAACCCAGTGCTCTTTGTACCGTGTCACACACTGTGCTACCTGGTAGGCCCAAGTCAAGTGGTTAACATCTCTACCAACATCTATTGACAACAAGAGCCTGTGGGTGTCATGGAACTCTGGACTGAAGGCCAGAGTCAAGATAAACAAATCAAGAAGAAATCCTCGTCACTTATAGAGACAGACTCTTTCCATTTACTTAGTTCTCACTAATAGTTATTGATAATATATAAAGTTTAGCTAAATTGAGAAAAACACTAGAAATCACTGTTGTGATCAACAAAATGAGTTAGACAATCATCGGCAGTAATGTTCACTGGGATGAGTCGGCCATTTGGTATTTGTAGCATGTCCACAGGCAACGCAGCACAGGTGGGTGGCAGCTTCAGCAGTAAGCCACAAGTGCTGCAGTAGGGATGTGTCTAAGCTGTATAAACCAGTGGGGCCAGGGCAGTGTCAGCAGTTTTTCCGGGCTGATCAAAGGTGAAGGCTGCCTGTACTGAATGTGTGGCTCTTGTGGGTGAGCATGAGGATGTGGGCAAAATGCTTCTCTGGTTTTACAGGTGGGAACATGGAGGTCCAGAGAGTTTAAACAATTTGGCCAAGCCTGTACAGCAAAACTAGGATCTGAACCAAGGTCTCCTTGTTCCTAGGCTAGTGCTTTTTCCATAACTTCAGAGAGCACACACACAAGAGCAAAGCGCAACTCAGAAGGGTCACGACTGGAATCGACAGTAGATCTACCAAGCTTTAGCTCCTAGCCAATTCCATAGGGTTCTCCCTGAAGTTCCCCTCCAAGATTACTGTCCTTGGATGGACTCTATGGGTAAGAACCAGGTCTGTGCAAGAACATAATGTGCTGATCTTACGTACACCAAGTCTAGCTCTTATATTGGTAACTGAAACACACTCCCAGGGTTAATAAATTGATGAAAGGCATCTTATCACACTGTCCTGTAGAATCAGAAAGTAATATTCTTGCTGAGGGAAGGGCATATAATTCTGTGCATGTGTGTACGTGTGCGTGTCGGTGGGGGTGGGGGATGTTCATTCCTTTGTGAGGCAGGCCTGAAAACAGCCAGGTTCAATGGAAATTCAGAATGTGTGTGTGGCTGGTACAGAGAACCCTGAAACCAACTGCACATGCCTGTCACTCTGTGTTCTCTTGGCTTTGAGAGGGTGAGGTGGTTGCAGAGCAGAGAATGGCAGAATGGGGAGCTTTTGCTGGGTATGCTCCTAGTTCTTGGCTCTTCAGTCCACTTTAGCTAAGAGAGCCATGAGCTAGGCCAATATTTTCAGATACATAAGAAGGGATTCATTGGGAGACTAGTAGTCTTTCACTCCACTAGAGTGGATATCTCCAAACCTTAGCTGTTACTTGAATCTCTGGTCCTCCCTTTTATCACCACTTCAAGATACCCCTTCTATCCTCACATTTCCTTTCCTGATGTCTTCTCAGTTCAGTTCTGGCTCTACCTTCCCTGCAACCTCCCAGGACAGAGTTAGACTTTCCCATCTGTATAAAGTGCAGAAAGTGATCTTGATTTTCCCTACTGTGTGTATCAAATGGAAGAAAAACTGAAGGTGGCTTCAGTATGGGAGCAAATGAGAACATGGACAAAGTTACTAAAGTGACAGCCTACACTGCACTAAAGCCTTGAATTATATCATCTTGAAGAATGACCCACTTCCACCCTCACCAGCCCAGTGCTGGCTTCTCTCAAAGAGGAGACTCAGCTCAGTGCTGCAGCTGGAGATAGAGCTGCCATCCTTTTTTCTATTAACAGCAACTGAACATAAGAATAGCACTGGGCAGCTGCTGAGAGAAGGCAGGTGTTTCAGGGAGCCTGTGGGGTGGAAGGTTCAGGGCCTTGGGGAGGGCATTCCCAGGGTATGGGGGCGCAGTCTCCTTCCCACCTTAATTGGTACTATCAAGACTGCCTGAGAAGGGAATTATCTGTGCCCCATCTCTAAGGAAATTCTTCAGCAAGTGGATTATAGGGCTTTGAAGAAAGAACGGAGCAGAGCCATGTGGTGTGGAGAAGACCTAGGAAGGAGCATGACATGGACAAAGGCAAGTGAGGCCTGAAGAGGGGTCAGGTAGGGCTGGAGTGAAGGGCGGGCTGTGGGCCAACCAAAACAGGTCAATCAGCAATATGTGAAAGAGAAAAAGATGGAGAATGGGAATTTGTTCTGAGAATTTAGAAATCATCTTAAGGGATTAAACTTTTCCTTCTACTACTCTGGAGCTAGCATGTCTCCCACTACAAGTACTCCAAAAGAAAGCAAACCTGTTGGGATGTCACCACGGGAAGGTTTGCGTACTGTCTGGGCTTTTGGTGGATGAAGGCTCATCATTCTGAATGGAAGAAGCAAGAAAACTTTACATTAGTTGTTTGGCTATGGCTTGGTAGAAAGGAATGTGTCTTTTTCCATTTCAAAACCCAAATGGTCTCTTGAATCCAGCACCTGTGAACCTGGAGTTCAGACCACTTTGCAGCAGGGTGAGATGACAGGGCCAAAGACCACTGCTTCTCAAGCTTTTTCCCTTAGTGATATTTTCATGGATTTTGATACAATCTTCATTTAAAAAATGTTTTATTTCACTGTCAGAACATATATGGTCTGAGGATAGAAGGGATTAAGGAAAGAATCCTCTAGTTTCCAGAAAAAAAAAAAAAAAAACTCTTCCAGATCAGTAATCTACCCTTCGAGTGCAAAACTGAGACTATTTTGGTTAGAACCTTCCAATTGTAGAGAAAACGTCTTGGCCACATACTATTTCTCCTGGGGGCTAAGGCTGTGGAAGTGACCCTCAACCAAAATGTGTCTGTTCCCAAACCATTTCTACACTAGTTTAAGTTGCTTAATTTCTAAAGACTGACAAATATGTAAACTCTGCTGGGCTATCTAAGTTTCTAAACTCATTTTATGGTTTCTATTTCCACAAAGATTTTTCAGGATTACTTTTACTTTGTTACCAAAAACATGGCTAGTCCAACCAGTTTATTTTATTCAGTTGTTGTTGGAGGACTCCCTGGGACTAAGAAAAAGAAAATCCCTTCTGTTACCCATTTTGGGCAAACCAGAAGGTGCTTGTAAGACTGAATAGTTTAAGATCTGTCTACACCAGGGGGCCGGCCCAGTAGCTGAGTGGTTAAGTTCACATGCTCCACTTTGGAGGCCCAGGGATCACTGGTTCGGATCCTGGGCGTGGACCTACACACTGCTCATCAAGCCATGGATGGTGGCATTCCACATAAAAGAACTAGAATGACCTACAACTAGGATATACAACTATGTACTGGGGATTTGGGGAGAAAAAAAGGAGGGGGAGATTGGCAACAGATGTTAGTTCAGGGCCAATCTTCTTCACCAAAAAGCATACTTTAAAAAAGGACAAAAAAGATCTGTCTACACTATAATTCAAAAATATGTATCTATCCACTCATATTTCCTCCTCCTCTCTTTTCCTCTCTCATTCCCGTTTTTCTTTCCTTCATTCCTTTCATTCAACAAACATTATTTAATTCCTACAATGGCTACAATTAAAGTCACCTTTAAAAAACTATTATTTCAGTGAGGACAATTCCACCTGCCTATATATGTGGTGTGAGTTAAAAATTGTGAGGGCAGGTTTTATAAGCTACAAACAGAACCAGGACCCTACTTTATAGTCACACTAGCTAAATCTCAAACAGACATGCTATATGTTCTTTCATTACATTGGAAAAAAAAGAGCAATCTAGTGATACTTCTGGTTGACGTGATTTTAGGATTGGTTCAACTCTTGGTCTTAGCTTTAAAGGAATAAGAGCTATTCATCAAAAATAAAACCAACTGGGCCGGCCCGGTGGCGCAGTGGTTAAAGTTCCCACGTTCCACATCTCAGAGGCCTGGGGTTCGCCGGTTTGGATCCCAGGTGTGGACATGGCACCGCTTAGCATGCCATGCTGTGGTAGGCGTCCCACATATAAAGTAGAGGAAGATGGGCACGGATGTTAGCTCAGGGCCAGGCTTCCTCAGCAAAAAGAGGAAGACTGGCAGCAGTTAGCTCAGGGCTAATCTTCCTCAAAAAAAAAAATAAATAAAATAAAACCAACTAATGATTTGGGATTTGAGACTTTATTTAAATGCCAAATTTGCAAGATAAATAAATTGGGCCAGCAAATATCAAAAGTCTCCCACAGAAGAGTGAACTTTTGCTCAGAAATCTCTGATAGTTGTTCTCTATTTAAAGTCCGTAAAGAATATTTATTAGAATTACTTTTATTGTGATCTAAGAGTTCCTTACAAGTATAGAGTCAGTGTAGGTAAGTGTGATTAGCGCTGGAGCCTGTAGCACTCAAATACCCATTTCTTCCACGACCCTGTCTACGTGGGCCAGATACCCGTACATTGTTTCAATGCATCTGAGTCTACACCTCAGCTTGGAACAGAGGGCCCTGAGGTCATACAAGAAATCATAACCTCTACTGCTGTCCAACAGAAGCTTACAAAAAGACCTATTTTCCCACATTATTGCTTTCTGTATGAGGAAAAACAAATGAAAGATTGCCATTAGATCAAATATAACTTTTTGGATTGGTCATAAGTAAGAGTGACTGTGTGTCTACGTTCCAATCATCTATTGCAAGGCAAGTCTACACTGGTGCCTTATCCAGGGTGAGTCCTTGTTTTGAGTTTTTTAATAAAGTAAAAACTGAGTCCTTCTTCCTTATCTGATAATGAAATACGGAAAAAGAAACCCCTGATATCCAAGTAATAAAAGTTCTGCCCAGATTTTATTTCTGATATACTTGATCTTGATCAGAAAGCAGCAAATGACAATCAAAAAAACTGATAAGAATAGTTACTACAAAGTCGCAGAAGATGTCCTGGACTCAGGACAGATTGTGTGTAATGCCCTGTACCTTCTGATTTAGACATCTCATCTACATGGAAATTTTATATTAGTTCTGCCCGAGTTATCAAAGAAATTGCCCATCCTATTACTTGTACTGTGCTTGTGAAGGCGGAAAGGAAGATTATACTTTGTACAGTACTTTCAACAGTTGTTCAAACAAAAAGGTGAAAACTCTTTTGGTCTAACTATTTGGGTTAACCAGAAAAGGAAACCAGTCAAGAAGCCCATTCCCCGAGCATTGCCTAAACATTCTACTTACTATGTTTCTCAACCCACTATCATGTGTCCCCAAACTAATTTAATCAGAATTGAAGTCATGTTGCGCTTTCAATCTTTGACTTACCTTTGATTCATAAAATTCTTAAAGGATAGTTTCAGATCACTTGGGATTATTATAGCTCTTGATTGTACCTGAGGAAGAAAGTCTCGTTTAGAACACTGCCCCAAACTGCATGCTAATTTAAATAAATAATACACCATGTTAGCAAACTCAAGTTGTATTTAATACCAGAGTCATTCATACATCCTTTTGTGATGAGAATGAAGCAGAGGCGATCCTCCGGTCCCCAAGTCATAGGGTCTTTGTTCTTGCCTGGTTTTCAGAGTGTGGAGTTAGATACCTCAAGGTGAGCAAGCCTTCCAACCCTCTCTGCTCAGCTCACTCCCAACGTTCTTCCGGTCTCTGGTTAACTGTCACTTTCTCACAGACACTGCGGACTCCTGGACTACTGTGAGGTGGTCCCCAGGTTCTCACGTTCCCTGGGCTTCTGCTATCAGAATGCTCATAAACTTTTCATTGTATTGACCTGCTTAATGCCTGCTTTCCCTGATAGACTTTCAGCTTCATGAGAGCAGAGACCATGTCTCTGCTTTCATATCTCCAGGTCCTAACACGATGCCTGTTTAAGAAATATTTGTTGACCAAATTAGTGAATGAACAAATCCACTTTGAAGCTCACTTGAAAGTTTTAAGTGTGCCCTTCATACAGGGCTAAAATCAATTACACAGTTATAGTATTCCTGATTAACAGACATCACTTTCTTGAATTTTTTCAGATTTACTATTAGCACTAGAGGTTGGTTTTCTTTTGGAGATTGCGTTTTCACCAAGAAACAGGATTTTTTTCATTATTTCTCAAAAAATATTATAGCCATGACAATGAAAAGATAAGATTTGCTTGTCAATTTCTGCAAGAAAGGCATCTGGGATTTTGAGAGGGATTGCTTTGAATCTGTAGATCAATTTGGGGGAGTACTGCCATCTTAACAATATCACGTCTTCCAATCTATGAACATAGGGTTATTTCTATTTACTTAGGTCTTCTTTAATTTCTATGATATTTTATAGTTTTTGATGTACAAGTCTTGTATTCTTTTTGTTAAATTTATTTTAATGTTTGGCTGCTATTGTAAAGGGAATTACTTTCTTAATTTTGTTTTTGGGCTGTTCATTGCCATATATAGAAGTAAAATTAATCTTTGTCTATTGATCTTGCACCTTGTAACTTGGCTGTGCTCATTTATCAGCTCTAATAGTTTTTTTGTGGATCTTTTAGCGCTTTCTCTATATAAGATCATGTCAGCTGCAAACATAGTTTTACATTCTCCTTTTTAATCTGATGCCTTTTATTTGTTTTCTCACCTTAACTGCCCTGACTAGAACATGCAGTACAATGCTGAACAAAATAGCAAGAGCGGACGGCTCAGCTTGTTCCTGATCATAGTGGAAAATATCCAGTCTTTCACCACTGAGTATGATGTTAGCTGTGGATTTTTCATGAATGCCCTTTATCAGATTGAGGAAGTTCTTTCTATCTTTAGGAGTCTTTTTATATCTTCCCCAGTGTCTCCATTCAACCCCCTGCTGAGAAAGGAGGAGGTCTCAGTGACTATAGCAGATGTGCCGTCCCCCTCCCCTGAAGGAAGTTGAGGTGCCACTCTACATAGTGAAGTAAGGGTACCTCACACTTATTTTCCAACTTTCTGTAGTTTCCCACTGGGCTCTTTGTGCACCCGATCTGACAGCTGTAGGGTATGGTCCCTGGGCACTTTTGTGTTTGAGGCCCTTCCTTTTGGAATCTGCAGCCAACAATAAAACCATAGCACATGGTTTCATTCAGCGAGGCCTGGGCAAGGGCGAAGGTCAGAGAGGGGGTCTTGAGAAAGAGGACAGCTGCTGAAGTCCTGAGTGAGCCAGCTGGCTGAGGCCAGCACTGGCCCGGGGTCAGCGCACTCCAGATGTGGACATGGTGATTCCAGGAATAAGCCCGGGAGAAATCCCAGATTCCAGTCAATGCTAATAGTGAACACTGTGATCCTAATTACGTAGAACATGAACACAGATTGTAACACCCAGGTCCATCTTTGTCGGTAGCTTCAGTTAAATTTCCAAAGCCCACACAAAAATTTCACAAACCCATAACCCTACTAGTCAGAAGCACTTTCACCAGGAACTCATCAAAGGAGCCTCTCTTCTGTCTCCTGTTTTTCTTCTGCTCCTTGCCTTCCTCTTATTGCACCTCCAGCCCCACCTTCCTCCCTGAGTCAAAGGAGAATCACAGGATAGCACAATTGAGGAGACCCTTCCCCAACCCCTACACTAAACCAAACTGTTGACCTAAATTACCCTTCAACCCAAGCTTGATGCTTACCCTGACCAACCTAACCCTAACCCTTAAACCACCCCAAGTCCTACCTCTGACCTGTACAGCACCCTCCTGAAGCAGGCCTCTTTCTTCAGCAACTCTGACACATGACAGAGCTTTGTCCTTAGTGCCTTCAACCCCTTTGATATCCTCTTTCTTCTCCTCCTACTCCCCTCTGCTCACCATCCCCACTACCAATTACAGACACCTCCACTAGCTAGAAAGTACTATAGAATCTCTCCCCAGTTTTTTCCTGACTGAATTAATGGTAAACCCAAAGATTAAGCTGCTTGCTTCCCGGCTACAGTGGTGGAGGTGGATTGTATTGTGTGCATGTGTGTAGTGTTGAGGACATGTTAAGGGGGCAGAAGAAGCTTCATAACCCCCTGCACTTCTATAGCTGCAGTTACCTTAGGAACCCGGAGCAAAGGGGCTCATCTCATCTCTTCCCTCTGGCCCAACCTACCCTGGTTCATCTTTGGTTTGTTGAAAATGGAGAGTTTGTCATACAGTGCCAGATGATGGTGTTCCCAGGGCCAGCAGCTCCTCATTTGCAGCCCTTACCAAGGCTCTCCCTGCAAGGGGCCCCCTTATTGTCTCTCTCCACTGGGCCTTGGTGGGGAAAAGGCAGTGCTTCGCCCTGGGATGCCCATGCCATCTCTGATATCCCCCTGGCCTACCGTTTTTATTTCTCGACACATGGAGCACAGCTGCTTGTTTCTGATCAGCATGGGGTCACCCTGGTTCCTCCTAGCCTGAGAGGGAAGAGAGACAGACAGAGATGAGGAAATGGTGGGGTATCTGGGGTAGCAATGAAGTGGGAAGGTGGTGGAGCAGTGAGGGAGGTAACAGTCATTCCTTCCATAAAACAGAGGTGGACACTCTGGTCTCAGCCCCATTCTGGGTGGAGGTTGAATCGAGGCTTCACTGCAGCTGGTAGGATCAGAGAGGGTTTGGGCAGGAGGGGGTGAGCCATAGACTAAGTGGAAGCTTCAGGCCCCTTGCATACAATGGTATAGGTATAAGACACCTGGCAGAGGGGGATGAGGCTGGGGGCTGGAATCCAGTGAGGTCTATCTTTCCAACCTGAGCACCCATGTCTGAGGGGCTGCACTGACTCATAGGGGGCACATTTTCCCCATTTCACACAAAGTCTCCACTGTATTGAGTAGCTGAGGACCTCTGACAGTCTAAGAAAAATGAAGAGATGACTTGTCTTCTGCAAAACTCCTTTCACTGGCCTCTCCCAAGCGTTATCCCCTTCTCTTACGCTTTAACTCTGGTCCGACATCAGCTCTCAAGCATACACTGTCCAGCACCACTTGGCCCTTCTGCACCTCCTGAGAGCCATAGATTAAGCCATAAACAGTACTGGAGCTGGCGTGTGGGTCTTGAGCGCCCTCCCTCCTCCGGGGAACAGAGGCTGCCGCGGCCAGGGCAAAGAAATGACCAGTGCAGGGAGGCTGGGGGCATCCTGTCTGCTCATTGCAAACGCTGCTTTCTTTCTGACTTTACTTCTGCCAAAGGGTGGAAGGAAGGGCTTTGGAACATTTACACCTGAACATGAGGTTCTCATTCGCATTCTGATGAAAGTTTGGTTAGGGAGCAAACGGGAACTTGAGGTTAATATTCCATCTGGGGATTCTCTCTGATCCTTCCTCATTCACACTGACATCAGAGTCATGAGATGTGTTCCTAGGAAGTGTAGAATATGGGGGAGAGGAGGGCCACAGGGACGAACAGGTGATCACTCAGAACTGAAGCTTTCTCCTTCCATTGGATCAGCTCGTTGACCTACCACAGTGACATGTGTGCACATCTGCGCCCTGCCCCGTTCATGCTGCCCTGGGACGTGTGCGGAACAGGAGGAGGACTCTATGTGGCGTACAGTGCGTGGGTGTGCCCCTAAGGTGACCTTTGCCAGACTGGTCTGCAAGGAGCTTCGTCCTGTGAGAGACATATGGCGCTTGCGTGAGGCATTACTGGGACTTTGAGGACTGAAAACTACGGACAAAGTGGATTCTTTTGACAAATATTTAACATGCATTTCATTTTTATAGGTCATTTAAAAAGAATCAACTCAGTATTACAATGCTGTGGGTTGGTATGTTGAAGTATGAGTGTGAATGACTAGCTTCATTCATTCAACAACAAACATTTATTGTGAGGCCACCACGTGGAGGGTGCTGTGATGGGGTCACAAAGATGAATAAGACAAAAGTTTCTGGCCCTAAGGAAGACCAGGGAAGAATACCAATTCATTTGTTTGCCCATTCATCAGGTACTGGGGACACTGAGATAGATAAGACACAGCTTCTAAGCTGTCACCACCAGCAGATTGTGTACGGAGAATTATGATGGTGTGAAAACTACTACGATAGAAATAGAGGCCACAGTGAAACCGAAAGGAGTCTTGAACTCACCTGGGTGGGGGATGGGGCATGGAGGGAAGGGTCTGAGAAGGGTTCGAAGAGCAGGCAATGCTTGGTAGGTGTTGGTGGGGTGAGCGAGGAGTGGGGAGGGCATTCCCACCTGGGAAACACTGTGCAACAACATGGAAGAATCACCTCGAAAATCGGCTTCAGGTACCTGAGGATAGCCTGGAATGGCAGACTCTCTCGTGGGAGGAGGGGTGGAGTAAGAAGAGAGGCTGGAGAGGAAGCGCCCGTGTGTGCTGACTCCTCTGCTTCTGGGCAGATTCAACTTTCTACCATATCTTCCCTGATACTCCGGGGATGGTATCTCCTGGGACCTGGCTCTTCCCTCCATCCCTCACATCTTTGGGTTTCTAAGCCTAAGACACCTATCTGAAACTGTGATTCAAAGTTGGACACACGAGATATCATAGAAGAAGCAATACTTCTGGGCCTTCAGAAAAGAGAGAGACCATGTCCCATTGGAGGAATCAAGAAGCGCTTCTAGAAGTGGCATTTGCACTTAGTCTGAAAGGATGAGGAGGATCTGGACAGGCGGAGTGGGAGTGGGAGAACCCTGGTGTAGGGCTGTCTTTAGCAGAGTTATAAGCAGACTCTTGTCTTTCCTGCAGTTGATTCCTTCACCTTTCCAGACTTCCGCTTTCTACATAAGATTACTACTAGGCCCTACAGGGAATGGAATCACAGAGATCATTGCAAATCGACTAGCAAATATACACCAGAGGTCTCCAAGGTGCATGGCAGGATCTTGCCAGGCTGTTGACAACCATGAATGTGACTCCAGAGTCCCACAAACAAGACGACTGTCATCTCTCAGAACCTGAAGGACGAAATGTTTTCTATATTGCCCTACCTGGCCTTGTCAACTCCTCATCTTTTAAGACATACCTTATGTATTACTTTCTCAGGAAATCTTTCTCCTGACCCTCCTACCACTTCGCTGCCTCCCACCCCCCTGAGTTGGGTGCCTGCCTCTCTGAGGTCCTCATAGATTTGATATAGCTTTTTGTACTGTTGTGTTTTTTTAAAAAACATGTTTGTTTCCTCCACTAGGCTGAGAGTTCTTCAAAAGCAAGAACGTGTCTCACACATCTTTGTATTCCTAGAGCCTATCACAGAAGCTGGCACAGAGTAGGCATTCAACACACGTTAGTTGAATGAATGAGTCATTGTAAGCATTTTAAACTATCGGGTATAGATATAGACACACACACACATATATACTCATGGGACACTAGTGTGCAACAAATTCACCCTATACGCTGTGTTGGAGAAAGGCACTGGCTGGGAGCCCAAATTGCTGGGTTCCAGTCCTGGCTCTATGAGCGACTTGAGTGACTTCGGTCAGTCACATAAACACTCTGTGCCTCCCATCCTCTGCTGCTGATGCACTCTGTGGCCAAAAAGACAGAGGGCTCTAATCCTGCCCATGCTTGACATGTAGAGGAGTAAAACAAGTCTTTGATGTGTGGCTTCAGTCATCTCTGCCAGGAATGTGGCAGTGACTCCACCCGAGCCTCACTGTCAGCTGAAGCCCGGCCTCCAGGAAGAGCCACTCCACTCCTCTTCACTTGGAGCGGAGGGCGAGGGCACTGGGGGGGCATTTACACAACATGGAAAGCAGCTGTGATGGGCAAGTCCTGCTTTTGACAGTCTACAAAGAAACTGTGCAAATGATTTGGGATTCCATGTTCTCTAGGCCTCAGCTTCCTCTCTCCTGTCTGGTTTCCCTTCCCAGCCCTGAGACCAAGGCCTTTTTCTCCTGGGGTATTCCCTTCCCACTCTCGGCTTCCTTAAGGCCATCTCAGCAGCAGCAGCAGGAATGCAGCGTGAACCGGCCAGTGGTTCAGAGCACAGCCCCCTGGTTGATCATCTGTAGAGTCCAACTCACCAAGAAAAGAAGCTCTGACATGTTAATGGGGTTCTCATTTCCCAAGCAGCTGTCCCCAGGACAGCAGATAACAGTTGTGACAGAAACGTGAGAGCAATCTTTTGTAGCCTGGCCAAGGTATGGTGCGAATTTCAGCCAGGACCCAGAAGCCAAAGCCTGCTCTTCACATTTCACAACTGGAAACATTTTAATATTTGCAGTGAGTATCTGCTAATGTTCCGAAGATATGGCTCACGGCCCAAGTCCTTGGCCTCCTTGAATCTTTGGTAAAGAAATGGAGAGATATGTTTCTCTCCCTCTCTCTCTCCACTTTTCTTTCCCCCTCCCCTACTCTCTCTCTCTCACACACACCTGTCTACATACCAAAACCTGAAAATGTAAGCACCAAATGGTGGTTTTAAAAATAGCCCTCACAAGCACGTCTCGAGGAGCACTGACAGACTTGCCTCCGTGCCTCTTGCCCTTCAATACCTCTATTCCTTTTCTCCCTTCCACTCCTGCATTCACTGACAGAGACCTCGTGGGTCACCTAGCTCAACTCTTTCAACAAACACAACGAGGAAATTGTGGCCCAGAAAGGCTAAGAGATTTGTCCAACAGCACATCTATTCAGTTTCAGTCAGCCAGAAAGTTGTTTGGATAAAGAGTCAAAAAAACACTACCTCTCCTCAGGGGGAGAGTGGACTCTTAGGGTCCATATGAGAGTAAAATGATTCCTATATCCCTTGGAATCCAAAAAGTGGTGCTCAGAAAACTATGTACAATATTAAAAAAAAAAACCTCCTATGATAATGACACATTTTCCTGCTCTCTGAAAATACCAACCATCCCAATTGAAGAGTGAAGCTGAATATAGTTTTTAAAATACCCTTATCGTTCACTAGGAAAAATTTCAAACGTACACGAAATAATCAACAGCCATCTACCTACCATCCAGACTTATTAAACCTGGTTTCTATTACATCATTATCTCAGGTCAGTAGTGTTACTACTTCCTTTTAAACACTTCCTTTCTGGTTATATGTGTTTGATCAATATAAACAGGGAAAGGACTTAGGAATATGCAACGTAGTTTCCTTGGTGGTCACGAGCTTTCAAAAACTGAGAGTCAATGAGACAGAAATAACAAAACAAGTTCTCAGCGGTGAGAAAACTGGAGGTTGCCCTCCTCCCCTCTCCCAGCCACCTCTCTGCTACGGCGTGATGTCTTTAGCCAAGGCTTTTGGTCACAAGTCTGCTAAAAGCAACATAAATGACGCTCTTATCTTTACTCTGGCTTCTTAGGCTGGAACAACAAACCCAGATCAAAGAGAGTGGAGAGGGAGTGGGGGCAGGAACGGAGAGCGGACGGCATCTTATACTCCACTGGTAACTGGGGGCTCCAGCTCTGCTATCCCCAACCCAGCAAGGAGGAAAGGGGGCCCAGGGTCTCCAGCTGCACTTCTCCAGCTTGCCCACACATAGCTGCTCTGCTCTGCTGTGGGGCTCCGACAAGTCCCCTCTTGGCCTCAATTATCCAGTTATGAGATGACACTCCTATTTCACAGCATCTTGGGGAGTCATGAGTCGATGCCCTTACGGTGAAGGTTATGTATGATAAAGAAGCGTGCCCACAGTAGATGTTTAGTGGGAGATGTTTAGGCTTCAGTTTTTGGTCTCTGTTTTCTATTTTTCTTATTTGTCAGCTCTGCCTCTCCTCTTCTGTTTCCCTTTTTTTGGACTTTGGTCCGCCTCCCTCTCTGTGTGTCTCTGAGCTTCTGCTCTCTTGCTGTTTGTCTTCCTCTCCCTGTCTTTCAGTCTCTGAGCCTGTTTCCTCTCTGTCTCTCTGTCTCATCATCAGGGAACACTGCTCCAGACACACAGACACCTGCATCTGCACGGGACTGCTCCAGGGCAGGGGAGGAAAGCCACTTGGAATGCAGATGTTCAAAGTTCTGCCCTTTGACCTGTGACAGTGAGGAGGAAGGGAGCCAGGTGGCAGGACCTTTGCACCTATGACCAGGGGCCAGGACCTCTAGTTGGCTGCAGGGCTGTCGGCAGCCTCTTAGCAGGCCCCTGACTCAGAGGATGAAGGAAGAGATAGAGTGTCCACAGTACATCCCGGTCCTGTGAGATACAACAAAGCTTCATTCCAGAAAAGAGCAGCCGCTGGCGCAGGCCATGTTTACCTCACAGCATACATGTGCAGGCCGTCATGGGCACAGCTGACTCGTCTGGGATCTGAGGAGGGCTGTGTGACGGGCAAAGATCTGACTTGAGGCACCCGCCTGGTGTCCCAACAGAATAGGGATCCCAGGTTCCCTATGAAGAGCGGCAGAGTACGCCTCTCCTAAATACGCCACTTCGGCATACGGGTTATTTTGAGCTCAAGGCACTTTGTAAAAACAGCAGATGCAAGAATGGTGCTCTGACCCGCCTCCTGCTCTTCCTAAACATGGGAGATGAAACCCCATATGGAAGACGTCCTCCTTACACCCGGAGGAAAGCAACATTCTTATCATCAAGGACAAGAAGTTTAAGCCGAGAGAAGTCTGTACAAACAGACCTTGTTTAAATAATTCTTATCTTCCTTTAGCCTCCCATCTATCTGAGTTACTTTTCCACAACTGCCTCTCTCTGCTCATCCCAGTGTAAAAACATTTGGGTCTTCATTTCCTTATGAGGGCTCTCCTGTCATGTAAAACTTCTACTAAATAAATGTGTGTGCTTTTCTCCTGTTACTCTGTCTCAGTCGATTTAATTCTCAGGCATGGCCAAAAACCCTAGGACAGCAAAGGTAAACTTTCGCTTCCCTACACCTGCTTGCCTTTCCAAACTGGATGAGCAGCTCTTTCACACACACAGACCCACACACACTGGCGGAGGGTCAGCCCCCACAGGGCGAGGGTAAACGTGAGAGTGAGCTAGCCCGGTTCTCCCTCCCTAGGAGGAGGAATGGATTTACCATCCCCTGGGTGGCCCAGAGACTGGCTCCCGGGCTCAGCCCATTGGTCAAGCGACTTGCTCTCGGCCGCCATCTCGTGGCCACCGTGAGCATTGAAGCCATGAAACGTGAGCCCGGCAGAAGGTGGCCCCCTCGCAGGCCCCGGGCACGATCAACGCCTTCCGCCCGCTCCTCCCGCCCCTCCCGCCCGGCCCGCGGCTGCCTGCAGACCGCGCCTCGGATGCCCGGTGCTCGGAGAGCCAGAGCCCGCCTGGGCTGAGGGGGCGCCTGGGGCGGGGCCGGCCCGCTCGAAACGGGACATCGGAGACCCGGATGGAGGCTGCCTGCTGGCGCCGCGGCAGCTGCGCTCAGCCTCAAGCCTCCCCGGGCCCCCTCGCCTACCGCCGGCCTGTGCTGCCGGCAGACCTGTCGACCGTGCTGAACGCCGTACCGCCTCCCCCACGCTCGGCCTCTGGCCCTCTGCGCTCTGCGGGGCCCATCCGTCCCCTCGGCTCCCTTCCATGGAAGGCCGGACCCTGATGGCCCTCAGGCACTTCCTGCGCGCTCAGCCTCCGTGTCCTTGCCCCCTGGCTCTGCTCTCCACCTGTGAAATAATATCTTCCAGATCCAGGGCAGACGCCACTCCTCAATCCTTGCATTCCCGCTCTCTGTCTGCTCGCCCCTCCCGCGACCTGCAGGTGGCCCCTCCCCTCCCCTTCCCTCCCCTCCCCCGCACGCCCCCGCCCCTCTCTCTGATGCTCGTTGCAGCTTGTGCACCTGACCGGTCGGCCCACTCGTTGTGGGCCGTATCTGACTTGCTCACCCGTCTGTGAATTAAACTAAACAAAAAGGGCTCCGCCAGCATTTGTCCACTGACGTGAGTGACGTGTAACACTGAGGCTCACAGTCCCTGAGCGCGTGAGGAACACGGCTCCATGCACCGCCCGCGGAGAGCCTGCTCCGTCCCCAAGATCCCTCTCTCCCCACCGCCGGGAGGTGCTGACTTCACAAGCACCGTTAGTGTTGGGGAACCCTCTGCAGCACAGTCACAGAGTGTCACTCAGCAGCCAGTCGTGGCTGATTTGTGTGAGGTGGAGGGGACATGAGGAGTTGTTATGTGAAATTCCACGGTCTGGGGGTTGTAAGTGGGAGACAAAAGGGACTTACGGTGGTGCTGTGAGGGGCGCTTCGAGACTCCAGAAACTCGGACTGGTTCTGGACACAGCCTGCCGTCTCAGGGCAGATTCGTCAATAGGAATGTTTTTGGTTTTCCTTTTGATGATTCTAACCTCATGCCTTTATTCTGAGTTGTAGTGGACAGATGCTCTAAGCACTGGGGGCCGGGTGAGGCCTCCGTGACTGATAGTTCATCCAGCAAATATCTACCCAACACTGATGATGTTCCAGGCACTGGGCTGTGCTAAGGAAATAGGAAATGCCTTTGCGGTCACATTCTATGTCATCCTAGCTATAGGTTTCTTTTCAATTAAAAAGCAAATTGAGTACCTTAGATAAGACATCTGGAACTTGAAACATTATTGGCAAATTCATATCCTTCTTGGATGAAACCAGAAAGGTGGCAGAGGAATGAGGAGATCTGAATAATCAGAACAAGAGCAGGTTAGAACCATCTCCTCGGGTTGAAGAGTCAGGCCCTTGTTTCAGAGAGAACCCGAGAGACACCCTGAGGAGTCAGTCCCCGCCCTTCTAGAGCTCCCAAAAGACGGCTTTCCCCTCTAAGTCACTCTGGCTTCTTGTCCCCCTTGTGTGGAACTAACCAATGCCAGCTGTGGGTCGTCAGAGACAGTGTACAAATTAAGGCAGGAAAACAATTCTTCGTGAAAGCAGATGTGTCACGGGTGGAATGCCCCCAGATCTCCCTCTTGAAAAGGCCTGCAGGGAAGTTACTGATGTCTAACAGTGCCTGTCCGTCCATGCCCCGCCTGCCTTCTCGGCGTCCATGTCCCTGCACACTCACACAACCCACCCGTTTCCTCCCATGGAACGTCTCCCTCCAACTACTCTTTTCCCCCCAGAACATTCTTTCTTTCCGGTCAGCAGGTGAAGCAGTGATGCTGCGGGGGTAACACCAGTTCTCCCCACAGGGTGAACCACCTTGCTGGCCAGTGTGGTTCATTTTATTACGGTATAAGGGGCCAAGGCATGCAGGGGGCTGGCCATCATAAACTGCCTGTGTGTACAGCTCCGTGCATGCCCCTGGCATCCAAGAAATGGAAACTCGGAGTGCGTGGTTTTGCCAAGAACACCTCTCCTCTCTGAAAGATTTCATTGTCCATTGTTCATTTTTAACAAAGGGCTGTGAAGAGGTTCGGTGTCCAGGAGGCATTTATTGTCTCATCTCTCCTCACCACTTCCCTGGGCCCTGGGAGGGCAGGGAGGCAGGGCTGGCCCAGCTCCTTCGCTGCCTTTGACTTGGATGCGTGAACAGCCTGCCTTGGACTTGATACCCAGACGCGACCAGGAGAGACCAGAGGCCCCTTTAGAGCTGCTTTAGCACACAGTAATGGCACATCGATAGGATCTCAGTACCAACTGCGGGCTTCCGGGACTGGCAATGAGTGTGGCTGCAGCAGTCAGGCCAATTTGTGCGAGTCCTCTCCAGGGAAGTGGGTCTGTGCCCACCCTGACCTTCAGAGCCAGGTCTCACCCCCCCACCCCGCGGGCTGTTTCCAGAGCTTGCCATGGGGGAGCTCTGAGCACATTTCACTAAGTGTTCCTTTCTCTGTGTTAGGTAATATGTAAAGCACCTTTAGACCCTTCTTACCAAGGTCTCAGAAAAGGGATTTGCCAAAAATAAACAGCTTGGAACCCAGAGCTTTGGCCAGATGAGGAGTTTCTAACCTTTAAGAATTGATACTTCAACTAACTACCCTTTCAATAGATTTTCCATTTCTGTCTTGTCCTTCTGAAAGCTCAGGCACCTCACAGGTGTTGTCCAGTTGTCTGAGAATTCTTGTGAGGTAGGGAAGGCCATTTCTCTTAACAAGGGTTGAAATGGCTGCCCGAATCCTCCCAGTATAGACATGAGCGGAGCTTCCCCGACTGTGTTAGGTAATTTCTCCTTGCGACTAGCTCAAGCTTGGCTGGCTGGAGCGAAAACTTCCCTTCCCTTCCCAGCTGACTGTTGAGAGGCTGTCCCCTCTGCCACCCCAGGACCTGGCTGTGAAAGGGAACAGGTTCTGAGGGCACCCAGTGGTGTTCTGGGCCTGCCTTTTTCAAGCCCCTCCACTTCCCCCAGCCCCCTCCTCACCTCCTACCAAAGGCTTATATGATCAGGGAGCAAGGGAGCAGGAGCAAGAGAGCCATTCAAGGGATGTTTTGCTCCTGGCTGCAGGGCCTGGTCTAATGGGCATGATGGTGGGGTGGGATAGTGGGATGTTACCCTATTTAGATGCCAGACACTAGCTATTTCACATAAAAATTCTGATTTCTGGTATTAGAAGAACCAGCAGATCTGACCACTGGAGTTACCTTCGTGCAAGCCACGTTGATGAGGGTAGAGGGCAGACTGGCCCCTCTGGTGAAGGGAGGTGACCTCCCCTTCACTGCAGTCCCACTCTGGTCAGCTCTATTCATTTATGCCATCCGACTGTCATTGTCATGTGAGTTTGCGCCCTGCCCCCAATTAAAAGATGCTAAACTGTCATTCCTCGTGCTGATCCTTGAAGTGCTAACAACTCTTCATAAGAACTCCATCATTGCGTTTTTACTTAATAAACAAGCCTTTGGGTTTATTGAATCTCTGACTGCCTGCTTTGAACTAAGATGTTAGCTAGAGTTTGGATATATTCAAAGTTATGTTAAAACAACAGAACCGAACAACCACCACTTCAAAAGTGCTCTGAAAATACACAAAATCATCTGGCTGCTTACTGAGAATGTGGTTTTTAAATGGTGCAGCAGACAAAGCAAACGTACGTGTTATTGAAATGAGGATGTGGAGGGAACGTCTCTCATGGAGAGTCACTCATCGGTGGGCAGGAGGATACATGACAGTTAGCAACAGGAGGAAAAACTCGTTTTAGAGTGTGCAGCCTTTCTAGCAGACTGCTGCACAGGCCAGGGAGCCCCCCTTCATCCAGGAGGTGCCCCAGGACTTGCCTCCTGGCCTGCCCATTCCCTGGTCTTCCTCTTTTTTCTCCCCTTCACCTTAACTCACACTCACCCTCCCTCCCATTTCCCCTTCCCAGAGCAGGGTGTATCACCACACCCAGGGACCAAAATGGGGGAGGAATGAGGAAACCCAGTTATTTCCAGGGGTGGCTCTGAAATGTTCCCTACACACAACTCCCTCAATTTTGAAAAACAGGAACATGTTCCATAGCAGTTTGTTAGGAAGGGGTGGGACTCGTGAGATTGGAGGAGATTGTCTCAGGGTTAAAAACAGGCAGGTCCTACTCTATAAAGATGGGAATGTATGGTTCTAGACTTTTGATGGTTAAAATTCGAAAATTTCAAACTTAAGGAGAGAAGAATAGGTAAGATGACAAGGATGATAGAAGAGTTTTGAGAGGTGGTGTCCAGGGGCAAGATTCTCTTGTATTGTTGAGTGGTGGTGGTAGAGAGGGAGGTGAATTGAAATATCTCCTCCAGCCAGGCCTATGCGCTGCTCAGTGTTCTCTGAGAAACCCTGGCCACTTCTGGTTTGTGAGCACTTGTCTTGGGTTTCTCAGCTGATCAGATGTGCCCCTCTGATAAGCACCCCCTAACCCTTGAGAAATCCTCTTTCGTGAGACCTTTCTTGAAACCCGCACCCTCAGTGGCTGAGCTGTTACCTTTTGGGGAGGCTGAGCACTAATGGCTTGTTGATGAGGCTAGCCTCACTAAACGAAGGAATCTTGCCAAATTTTGGAACAGAAACCTGAAGAGAAATGGAAAGAGATCATTTTACAGAATTCATTGCACTTGGCCATTGTCATCATTACGATGACCAAAGTAAGCCAACAGCAGCTATACAGCAGTCAACCCTTTATAAAACATTTTTATGATTTACATCGGACCCTTTTGACTCTCCCATTAAGAGCAAATAGTGTTATCTCCATTTTACAGATGAAGAAATCGAAATACAGTGTGATTTGCCATGACACAGCTAGTTAAGTGGATTCAGATTTTCTGACTTTTGCGTCCACTATATCTTGTGTTCTACTATATCTCTTGCTTCTAATAAACTTCTATCTGTTGATATAACCTCTAATATTTCCATGAATTCAGCCGAATATTAGCAACCTTGTATTCAAAGTCTCTGGCTGTTTTCAGCCACGGGGCCCTACACCCTCCTTCCTTCTGGGAGACAGAGGAAAGAACCACACTTTGAAGCTACAGACAACTGGATATTAATATTGGTTAATCCACTTCCCAGCTGTGTGGCAAGGACAAATCACAACCTCTCTGAGCCTGTTGTGTCCTCTGTGTGAGAAAGGATATCATCACAGGTCATTACAGGTCAATGCACAAGACAGAAAGCTCCAGGAGAGCAGGGGTTTTTGTCTGTTTGGTCACTGCTGCATCACGAGCACTAAAACAGCGCTTGATACTTGTAGGTACTCAGTGACCCTGTGTCCAATGAACACCGGATGCATGGGGAGTCCCTAGCTGAGGGCCTGACTTAAAAATAGGAGCTCAATAAATGCAGCCGTTAGAATCTCTCTTCTACCAGCCTAGCCCCTCTCTCTGCCCTCCGGACGCCAGATCTCGCCTCTCTGCGGGGCATTTGCTTTCCTGGGCTCCGGGCGCTCGGTCCCCGGGGAGGAGCCGGGAGCAGTCAGCAGGGGGCAGCAGCGGGCCCGCCGGCCGAGGAAGGACGCTCTAGCCGCGGAGGTTGCGGCGGACCCGGAAGTGCTCGGCCGCCGTCGCGACCGCGGCGCCCCGGATGGGGAAGGAGGTGGGCGGCGCCGTTCCCCGGCCGCGCAACCCTGGGAACTCGCGGGAAGGTGGGTTCCGAGTGGGAACCAGTGTTTCCCGGCCGCCTCCGCCGCCATCCCCCGCAGGCCCACGGCTGGGTGAGGGGCGGCGGCGGGCGGGGGAGGCCCGGGACGGTGAGTAGGGCGCCTCGGGGACACCCCGCCCCAGCCCTGACGCGACCCCGCGGACGGCCGTGAGTTGCCGGGGCTGGAGGCTCTGCTGCAGTGAGGGGGGCTCCCAGGGTGTCTGGCTTGTGAAGCAAACCTACCGTGGTCTCCATGGAAGAAATAAGGTCGGACGATAGGAATTTTCTTCGCAGCTTTGCTGGATGACGTTGGTATTTCTGACTCTTAGTTTTCTCATTGTGAAAGAGGGATCATTACCTTCGATCCTCGCTAGAGTTTCACCGTTATAAGTAGGATGATGGCTCTTTAAAGGATGTCAAACTCAGTTAAAGGATTGGGAATCTTTAGTTTTTCTGAGTCCTTGGTTTTGGCTGTTACCTGTGTTGTGCAGTTTACTGTTGTCTTTAGACCGTAACTTTTTTTAAAAAAATAATAGAGACCTTTGAGAACCCAATAAAAGCTCTGGATACTGTCTCTAGAAATTTGCATAAATTGCCGCTACAAGCATGCAGAGATAGGGAGGGTTTCGGGGTGCTCTGAAGCCCATCCGTAGACCTCAGGGATATGTGAACCCCTGAGTTAAGAACTGGTTTAGATGGAGGCATGATGGAGGCACAAGCTTTGGGCTCAAATTTGGTTTGAATCTGGCTCCACCACTTACCGCTGTTAACTTGGGTTAACGTTGTCTCAGCAATTTGAATCTCACCTTTTTTGCTAGTTAAAGTGGGCCACTGCTAACTTGGAGGGTTGTGGAGATTAAATGCAAGATGCTATCTAAGGCACTTAGCACAGAGTAGGCACTCCGTAAGTGGTAGCTAACATGTCTATTATCATCCAAGGGATTATAATTTAGAATCTGAAATGAAATTTGAGCATCCATAATTATAAAAAGGCCACCACACACATTTTGCTTAGACTGAATAAATTGAATTGGTTTGATTTTGACTCAGTTCTACCTGTGACGTTTCACAACTTGCATAGGTTCATAGTCTCTCTTTTTGCAGGAACTTGGCTGTGTTGTCCTGCCTCAGAGAACAAATTCCATAGCAGGCCTAGCCTGGGTTGCTGCCTTTGAAAGTGAGGGAAGGTTGGTGCAACATCAACCACAACACAGCGTGGAATTTCCAGAGAGGTCTTATTTCAAAACTTTATAAAGAACAAGAACCACATGGACTTCTGCAAGGGAGATTGAACTGGCCTGAGTGTGAGAGAAAGGATAATGTACGCCCAACCTGTAACTAACACCAAAGAGGCCAGGTGGCAGAAGATCTTGTACGAGCGACAGCCCTTTCCTGATAACTACGTGGACCGGCGCTTCCTGGAAGAGCTCCAGAAAAACATCTATGCCCGGAAATACCAATATTGGGCTGTGGTATTTGAGTCCAGTGTGGTGGTACAGCAGCTGTGCAGTGTCTGTGTTTTCGTGGTTATCTGGTGGTATATGGACGAGGGTCTTCTGGCCCCCCATTGGCTTTTTGGGACTGGCCTGGCTTCCTCACTGATTGGCTATGTTTTGTTTGATCTCATTGATGGAGGTGAGGGACGGAAGAAGAGTAGGCGGACCCGCTGGGCTGACTTGAAGAGTGCCTTAGTCTTCATTACTTTCACGTATGGTTTTTCCCCAGTGCTGAAGACCCTGACAGAGTCTGTCAGCACTGACACCATCTATGCCATGTCAGTCTTCATGCTGTTAGGCCACCTCATTTTCTTCGACTACGGTGCCAATGCTGCCATTGTTTCCAGCACACTGTCCTTGAACATGGCCATCTTTGCTTCTGTCTGCCTTGCCTCACGCCTGCCCCGGTCCCTGCATGCCTTCATCATGGTGACATTTGCCATCCAGATTTTTGCCCTGTGGCCCATGTTACAGAAGAAACTGAAGGCATGTACTCCTCGCAGCTACGTGGGAGTCACACTGCTTTTTGCGTTTTCAGCCCTGGGAGGCCTGCTGTCCATTAGTGCTGTGGGAGCCATCCTCTTTGCCCTTCTGCTGCTTTCCATCTCATGTCTTTGCCCTTTCTACCTCATTCGCCTGCAGCTTTTTAAAGAAAACATTCATGGTCCTTGGGATGAGGCTGAAATCAAAGATGACTTGTCCAGGTTCCTCAGCTGAGTTAGGGACCTCCATTCCACTGTTAAGACAAGCTGATAGCCGAGCCTCCCAAAAGTCTAAGATTTGAAGGCAGTGTGTGATTCTGGAAGCAGCATACTGATGTGGGTAGGAGGACAGAGATCAAAAGAAAAGTTCACCAAAGGCTTGGGTGGCAAAGGTGCTTGTCCTTTGTTATTTTGCGGATGAAAAAGCTTTCTGGGGCCCTTTTGAATTATTGCCTCTCCTTTACCATTCGCTGTAACAAATGAAGTGATGTGGTTTCTATTTATTAAAAAAATAACAACACATCCATCAAGTTGTCCATGATTTTTCTGTAAGCAGAGGGCAGACAGAAGGGGCATGAAGAGTGAAGAGAGAATAAAAGTAAGTGTGTGTGTATGTGTTGTGTGTGTATAAAGTCGCTTCTCTCTGCCTTTTCAGTGGACTAATGCAGGCTCTGTTATTTATCTAGAGCCCGAATCCTAGAGCCCTGGATGCTGGGTCCAGAGTTGTTGCCTGAGGTCTCAGAATTGGTCACTTAACCTTCACTCGGAGTTTCTTCTTCATTCTTAGTGAAGCATGTACGCAGCTAACTACAAGGGGGAGAGTGATGTGTCCTGATAGGCAAGTGGAATGCTAGGGGAATTCAGAGAGGCTGGAGGTGAAACTGAGCTGCAGTAATTAGGAAATATTATTAGAGGAGGCGGTGTTTGAGCTTAGTCCTATGGGTTAGGTGGGGTTTAAGCAAAGGATGGTGGCAAAGGCCTTTAGGAGCCAGGTCGGCAATATTAGCAAGTGAAGCTAGCAAACTTTGTGTGACTTATGGCAACTGGGAAACTGGAGAGAGCATGCCCCGTCCAGTGCGGGCAGCCGCTGCTCTGCCCCAGCTGAATGTTTCCAGTCAGAATTTGGGCCTGGCTTCGGATCTTTAGAATTTCAAATAAAATTCAAATGAAATCTCATGTAAATGTGATTTTTAATACAAAACTTAATTGTAAATTCTGTCAAGTCGGGCCAAAAAACACACTCGCATGTGACTGCCACTATGCCATGTGTTCTTAGCAGAGCACAAAGTGGGAGTGTTTAATGGGAGTTCAGAGTTGTGGAGATTTGAGGAAAAATTGGAATGAGAGGTTTGAGTAACAATTAGGGGTCTGAATATTCAGGAATTTGGGCTTTATACTGCAGGTCACGGGGAGCAGTCCAGCTTATCTAAGGAGGGAGTAAATGATCAGATCTTGGGCTAGTTACAAAGTACTCTGTGTCTCAGCTTTTTCATCTGTAAAGTGAGGATGGAAGTAATTACCTCTAGAATTGTGATGATTCAATGAGATATATGCAAAAGCTTTGAAGAATGCTGGACACACAGCAGTATTAGTGTTAAGTATTGTTGTTACTAAGTTGATAGGTAAGAAGACTTGAAGAGAGCAGAGACAGTGCAACATGCACCAGGTGCATCCCAGAATAGCTGGTCCCTCATGAAATAATTCATATGTGGCAAGTTCCTGTACCATCCTTTCTCACTAGAAGTTAATTTCAAATCAGAAATTTCATCAGGGCAGCAGTATTCCTAAGAAGTAATGTTTTTTTATTTCTCTGAACATAGATTCTCAAAAATGTGTTGAATAGGATTGTGAACTAGTGTGTTCAGCTCTGCCATCTCACATCCTTTTCTTGTTTTAATTTGGACTGATGAGAATAGTGCTTCAGGATTAGGATGGGTAGTTTTCCCGAAGGCCAATT